GAAATCTGTACAGCGTGCGTACACGCGCTCAACATTTCTGTCCACTCACGTCGCGACACGTGGCAGCAGTGGGCCAAAAAAATTTTTTTCCAACCGTTGAAACTTTGCAACGGATGTTGAAGCCACCTAGATTAACCCATTTTATCAACACCCTCACTGCAAGGATTTCAACTGTTGAAAACTTGTTTCAACACCCCCATTGTGGGTGGTCTTATTAACACCAGTGTTGTTCAGTCCTGCCTTTGTTGCTGACATGTTCTCAATTTGTATCCAGTTGTAACAGACACTTCTGTACAGTTGTACCATGATCAAACACAGACGTGGTGATGTAAGATCGTCCTAGCTTAGAATAGTCCATCAGTATATAGAGCCACTCCTTCCTCAATTGGTTCCTCACTCTAGCTTATAGAGCGCTCGTAATCGTAAGACACATCAGCATGGAGAGAAGACCATCAGACTCAATCAGATTCTGAGCCGCAAGAGCTGTTGAGATCCTCAGAAGTACCACACGCATCTCTCAATCTTAAGGTACTTGCGATCATGAGTAAGCACAATACGATCATGAGCACAGAGGGCTGATCCTTAATAAGACACCGACTAGCCATTGTCCAGGACAAGATGAGGAGCTGAATATGTCGAGAAAACTCAGATTTGGCTCAATCTTACGACCTTCTTGGATGTAGCTTTATTGTCCTTAGAACCACCAGTCTTGTCTGAGACAGCATAGAGCCTAGATCTTATGATAATGCATTCATCGATAATCTTCTTGTTCTTAGTAGTCTTAGCATGCCCATGCACAAACGTAGTCCATTGACATAGTCTTGAGTTTAATCTGTAAATAAATAAATCAACATATCTAGTCAGAAAAAGGAACCATCAGTAATACAAGAGCCATATGTTTAGGCTGAGAATGACAAAGACGCAAATGCATTATACAAGACTCAATATAGTATATTTACCATATAATCTCACAACCAATGACTTAGAATCAGATGCATAGGAAAACAATTGACTTTTAGACACTAATAATGAAATAGTATCAATGACACCAAAACGCTCAAATCAGACCATTATGAATGCAACAGAGTCCATCCGTGTCACCTTTAAAACTGATCAATCTATCTTAGGATATGCATCTCAACATTCTTTAAGCAAGACTTATCAGATGAGCAATATATGACACATGATTAAGAAGACTACAAGCACAACAAGGTATGCAACATTTGTGGAAGCACAGACCAGACTCAGGCAATACTAGTTAGAACAGCCTAAGTTTATCAATGCACAACTCATGTGACTTAACCAAAATAACTTCAGATAATGCTAATCTAGAAGCTAGACAGATGAAACACAAATCCTTAGGAATTAGGATAAACATATTCAAAAGCTATTGACTCAAATGATAGTTACAAGGTGCAATCATGTATGCAACCATTGAGTTTCAAGAGACACTGAAGACAACATTTAGAGTGCGAAACACACTGATTTCCTGAGATCAGTACATGAGAGATAAGATGTGAACATACTTCTACCAAAAATGTATACACATATATACATAATAGAGACACCAACCCTTGAACCTGTCCTAGAGGGTATGTGACACCACAAATTGAAGTCAGAATAGCAAGCGGAAGCTTTTAGAAAGTGATCATCTCACCAGCTCACTAAGGTAGCTATTTCTCAAAGAGGAGCTTTCACACTCAGTGATCAACTCAGATTAGTCTTCACATCAGCATGTTCAGAGTTAGAAAAAACACAGAGTTTGGAGAAAAAAATGAGAAAGAAGAAATTCCCAAATCCCTTTTTTTTTTCCTTTTAAGCATCCTCTTTAAACAGGTCAGGACTTTTCTCCCCCTGTGTGACACAACACATTTTTTTCCTATGGGTCAGGACTTTTCTCCCCCC